TTGGCAATAGATGTTAGCTCAGAGCCAGTCTTCCTCAGCAAAAAGAGGAGGATTGGCATGGATGTTAGCTCAGGGCTGATCTTCCTCATAAAAAAAAAAAAAACCTACAGCTAATATCATACCCAATGATGAAATATTAAATGCTTTCTCTTTAAGGGAGAGAACAAGGCAAGGATTTCGATTTTCCTAACTTACAGTAAACATTGTATTTGAGCTCGTAGCCAGTATAATAAGGCAAAAAAGAAAAACAGATAAAGATCAGAAAGGAAGAGTAAGACTATTTTCAGATTACAGAACAAGCACTAACACTGACAAGTAAATTTAACAGGCTATAAAATAATTACACAAAAATATGCTAGAGGCAAACAATAGGAAAAGGAAATTTAAAAAGCAGTTTTATTTACAATAGTATCAAAAAACACAAAATACTTAGGAATAAATTTAACAACAAAAAAATACAAAACATTGCTAAGAGAAATTAAAGACGACCCACCAAAATATCAAGAGATATATCATGAATTCTATAAATTCAGTGTCCCAATCATAATACCTTTTTTAATATTTTTAATATTTTATTTCTGTGGAGATGCAAAGGACCTGTTAAAAGGCCCACTTTTAATAATACCACTACACACCTACCAGAATGGCTGAAATTAGCAAAACTGTCTATACCAAATATTCGTGACAATGTGGAGCAACTGGCAATTTCTTATAAGACCAAGTAACCTATTCAGTGATCCAGCAATTCCATTCTTATATGTTTGCCCAAGAGAAAAGAAAGCATATGCACACAAAAAGACGTCTACTAGAATGTTCATGAGAGGTTTATTCATAATAGTCAACAACTGGCAACACCTCAGGTGTCTATCACAGGAAAATGGTTAAACAAACCGTCATACATTCATACAGTAGAATACTATTCAATAAAAAGAAACAAACTACTGCTTCCTCAACAGTATGGATGAATCTGAAAAGCTTTATGCTTAGTCTAAGAAGCCTTATTTATATGACTAAATTTATCTAAAGTTCTAGAAGAGGCAAAACTAATCTATGGTGAAAAAAATCAGAACAGTGGTTGCCTCTAAGGGTGATTGTCACCAAGAATTAACTGGGAAAACAGCCGTGAGAGAACTTTCTGGGGTGCCGAAATGTTCTGTATCTTGATAGGGTTTGCGTTACACGTGTGTATATATTTCTCAAAACTCACTGAACGGTAGATTTGTACCTTTCATGATATGTAAATTTTATTTAGAAAAAGAACTATCAGTAAGTATTGAACTATAGTTGATAATACACATGCTGAACTGTTAAGGATTGAAAAGCAGATGTCTGCAACTTACTTTGAAATGCATCAAAAAAAATAAGATAGATTCAGGGGTGGATACAATGATGGATAGTTGTATGATATAGAAATATAATACAACCTTTAATTTAGAATCTAGATGTTTCAACTTTTTTTTTTCGGTAAGGGAGATCAGCCCTGAGCTAACATCTGCCAATCCTCCTCTTTTTGCTGAGGAAGACTGGCCCTGGGCTAACATCCATGCCCATCTTCCTCCACTTTATATGGGATGCCGCCACAGCATGGCTTGACAAGCAGTGCATCGGTGCGCACCCGGGATCCAAACCGGTGAACCCCTGGCCTCTGCAGCGGAGCACGTGCACTTAACCACTTGCACCACCGATGTTTCAACTTTTTCTTTCAACTTTTCCATATGTGTTGAGATTTTCTTAATAAAATCATTAGAAAAAATAATGTTTTGCTATGATATCGTATAAACCATCTTAGAATAAAATATATTGTACTTGGAAGATCAAGAAACTAATTTCTTCTCTATCCATTCACCTTGAAAACTAGAATATTTCTATCCTTGTTTAGTGAATACTTATCGATTAACTGAAATTTCAAAGATGTAAGCACAAAACGTTCTTTTTTAGTACTATAATGTGTACAGTATTCAAAGGATTACCATCTAATTCAGCAAATTTCAGCTGACAGGAAGATGGTTAAACTTCATTTATTAAGGGGTAACCATGGTAAATTACATAATCTGTTTATACTTTAATTGCTTTTTGTAATCAAATCAGTATATTATTTGGATATTTGAGGAGTTTAGTTTTCAAAGATATTATTAAGTTGTTAAAAGTAGAAGTATTACCTAGAAGCTAAATAAACTCAAATATAAAAAGAAAACTGGATTTCTAGTTGTCAAATTCAGGGACCTGCTATCCATTCTCATCCTACTTATAACCTGTGGTAGGCATTTGTCACATTTCTCAAAACTCTTGTCTTGCTTCCTGAATCATCTGCCTTTGATTGTTTCTTCATCATCATCATCATCATCATCATCATCATCATCATCATCATCATCATCATCATCGCTGCTGTTATCTCTTCTGTTTATCTCTACCTAATAGTTCACCAGGGTTTTTTCCCTAATCCTCTTCAATTCTTACTTACCTACTCTCTGATAATCTTATCCCTTTCCACAATTTTAATTACTGTCTATAGGCTTGTGATTCCATAGGTCTGTAAGGAGTTCCTACAGTCATTAAAAATTTATCATTATTTACATTTTATCTTCCTTCCCTAAAACTTACTAATTTTCTTGTATTCTTGATCTGTTAATAAGGTTAAAATCTAATTACCCAACTAGCTTTGTCAACCTCGATTCCTCCCCCATTCTATCTAGTGCCTCATCTCACCTGCACACTTGCTCAGTTGTCTAGAATCCAAGTTCTTTTTCTCCATCCTCCATTGCTATTATGGACCATGTCTCAAGTGGATTATTACTATAACTTATGAGGAATTCTCTGTGCTACCAATCTAAGTCATTGTTTTCCCCATTATTGGGATTTTTTTTCTATAATATCAAAATTGACAACAAAAATTTATTGGTCATGTCACCTTCTTGTATTAATCTCTATTAATTTCTTGTTGACTAAAAAACAAAATCCAGACTCCTTAGCCTAGCAAACAAGACTTTGGTTCCATTCACAGTTGAAACTAAGCCTACTTTTCTACTACTGTTGTTCTCCAGACTAATTCCAGCCACTTTTCTCACAATTACAAAACTTCGCAGCTCTGTGCCTTTACACATACAGTTCCCTCCTGTGCCTTATCTATGAATGTCAATCTCCTCACACCTTCCTAATGCCTCTAGAATGGGAAAAATAGTGGCACCCAGAGTAGTTGCTCTGTGCTCTGTGCTTCTAAGACACGTTCGTATCTCTTTGGTACCATTTGCCATGTTGTATAGTACATTGTTTCTGTAATTAAATCACTGTTAGAATAATTATCCCATGAGTTATTAATCCATTAAGTATTATTATTAAACTCAAATAAGATGTTCATCAGTATCTAACTGATGGGTTTTTGAGATGTTAACTAAATTCAGCCCTCTCCATTCTGAATTTAGAACTATTTAAGAGAGACGAGTCAGATAAGTATCTAGAGGGCAGCTCTAGCTCTGATACAGCTGAATTAGGGATCTCAACTTCAATTTAGAACTCTGATAGCTGATAACACTCTTGGCAATGGCATATATCATTTCTTGCTTCCACATACTCTTCGCAACTAATAATCCTACCTCTGAAAACTGATCCTGGTTTACCATGAAAAATAGGGACAAAATTAAAGGACAACAGTTATATATATTCCTAAAAGTTTTACTGTAGTACAGAAGGATCAGTCAACAAATATGGGCGTATTATAGTGATGGGCCTGCAAATAGTAAGCTTCACTTTACCAATGTAAAATATGTGGCTTTGTTTGAAATCTGAAACACTCCTGAAAGTAGGTTCTCTTTTTAACATTAAAATAATGGTTGTTGGGCTGGCCCCTGTGGCTTAGCGGTGAAGTGCGCGAGCTCCACTGCTGGCGGCCCGGGTTCGGATCGCGAGCGTGCACTGACGCACCGCTTCTCCGGCCATGCTGAGGCCGCGTCCCACGTGCAGCAACTAGAAGGATATGCGGCTATGACATACAACTATCTGCTGGGGCTTTGGGGGAAATAATTTAAAAAAATAAAAAATAAAAAAAAATAATGGTTGTTGATGAATAATATTATAAAAATTGTTATAAATCATTGACGGCTTTAGTTTAAGCTAATGAATCTTTAGTTTTTATGGCCTTTGATTAAATATTTTTTAATCCCAACTTACAGTAAAATTGTCATTGCATTTAAACTTTTTACCCATAAAATGTTAACCTGTTGTTAAAATTCGTTTTGGGGAATGGTGTGACATTAGCAGAATTTAGAAGTAAATGGGTTTGCTGAATATTTTTGTAATTTTTTTAAAAGGCCGTGAGTACGTTCTTAGGACTGCACGTGTTCTTCACAGAGTAGCCGACTTAAATACGCAATTTCATTACTGCAAGTCAAGATAACGCTGTTGTTCTGATAAAATAACGAACATCTTTCCTAATTAAAAATAGTCATTTCTTTTATCAAGAAGGGAAGTAATGAAATTGATGTTATCATTACTTTTTCATAATTGCATAACATACATTTCATGCAAAGAGCCTTTTGAATCATTCAGAGTAACGCAACGTCTATGTTATTATGCTTTATAACAGGAAAACTTAACGTGTTATATGATGCAATCCCTTACACCTTTTAAAAATAGATGGAACAAATCTTAGCAAGCATATACTTTTTTTTTTTTTTTTGGTGAGGAAGATCAGCCCTGAGCTAACATCCATGCCAATCCTCCTCTTTTTGCTGAGGAAGACCAGCTCTGAGCTAACATCTATTGCCAATCCTCCTCATTTTTCCCCCAAAGCCCCAGTAGATAGTTGTATGTCATAGCTGCACATCCTTCTAGTTGCTGTATGTGGGACGCGGCCTCAGCATGGCCAGAGAAGCGGTGCATCGGTGCGCGCCCGGGATCCAAACCCGGGCCACCAGTAGCGGAACGCGCACACTTAACCGCTAAGCCACGGGGCCAGCCCCAAGGATATACTTTAAGAAATATTATTCTACTTACAAATGGCCTATTTGAGATTATGCATTGGCCCTTTTTAATGTTCTTATGATCTCTAATTCATTATTATGACCTCTTTTATTTTCACTTCTGCCATGCTTTTTAAGGGGAAAAAAAGTTTTTTCACATGATACACTTTAATATTTTCCAGTTGAAAATGAAGATGAGGCTGAAAGGGTTCTTTTTTCCTATGGCTATGGTGCTAATGTTCCCACAACAGCCAGAAGACGACTAAAGCAAAGGTAAATCAATACATATTTGTTTTACTTATCTACTCAAGCTAAGGGTAAGTACACTATGCTTTTTGATAATGTGCTGAGTTGAGTGACAAAGTAAAGTTACTTTATTCTTTGTATGCATAAATGTTAAGTTGCTCACAAAATAAAACACAGTAAGTAATAAATAATCTTGCATTTCATGTATTTTTAAGTGAGTTTAATGGTCAGCAGAATAGAAGTGTGCATTAGAATTTTCCTAGAATTAGATTCAGTGGTAATGACACCATTTTAATTTTATTTTCACATTAGTTTCAGGTGAGTTACAAATGCTTTTGTACCAACAATTCTCAGCGTAATTAATTATGCTTCCTTTTTTTTTCCTCTTGTCTTTTATTCATCTGCCTACATACCTTGATATATACTTGAGAGAGAGAAAGAGAAAGAGAGAGAGAGATTGAGAGAGATGGAGATATCATATATATTGTGATTGAAAGTATAAAAGTCTTTGTGAAGACCAAGAACATTTTGGGAAGATCCGTTAGTTAGCTTGTGAGATGCTGCTGAAAGTACACCAAGGGAAAATTGTACCTATATTCAGTTTTCTAGTTGAACTAGCTGATTTTAGGTAGAAAATAGTTTTTTACCTAACTTCTTTCTCCCATCTAAATTTATTCTGCTTTGCAGAAACATCTCACTACTATATCAAATCTAAATGTTTCTCTCAGACTTCTAAGCCCCTCCACGTGGCCTCACCTCTCCAGTCTTGTCTGCCTCTCTACCCAAATTGAGGGTAGTGTGTCTCTCTGCCTATAAACATCTATTTTCTCCGTACCACACAATAGAGTATTTCTCTTATCTCATTAGCTCTCATTTCTCATGTCATTTCCCTAGCTAAATGGAAAGTTCCTCAAGGTCAGCAACCACATCTTACTCTTATTTATTCTCCACTGTCTCTTCCTAGCACAGTGTAAGATACCTAGTAGAATTGTCTCTTCACCTGAGTATTTGGACATTCAAACCTGCTTATCTTTTATTTTTATATGAACTGATTTAAACGTTTAGAGACATTACTTGCTAAGTAAGAAGAACAATCCATCTTAACCCTAATACTTTTGTAAAACCTTTGAAATGATGGCTCAGAGAATAAAATATCTTTATGGCTATCTAAAGTGACGTAAGATATAGACCATTTTATGAGAAGTAACAAAACTTGTGTCTCTTAAGAGACTGCTTAAACTAAATATCTGTAAGAAATTTAGGTCAAGGATAGATGACTAGCAAGTATCAGTTTGTAGCTGGAATGGTTAATTCTATCTGGCGAAGATGCAAAAATTTCTCAATTACATATTATTTGAAAAATCAGTTATAGTTCCATCCCATTTCCATTCTTCCCTGAGTGCCTCCAGAGGTCACTGAGAGTGACCTATGATATTTTGTAATTTTCAGTACATCTCTGTTTTTGAGCGTTATGTTGCCTAAGAAGGAATAGAAACATAGTTTTGTGGGAAGAGACTTCTTTATTGGTGGTAAATGATCAGTAAAATACTAAAAATTAAAATCTGAAGGAAAAAGTCCATTTTTTTCCCCTATTTTAGCATCTGAATCCTTCAAAAGAATCTTCATCACAAGAAAAAAAAAGAATTTTCCTATTATTAAGCTTTCTTCCTTTAGCCCCAAATTCTGACTTTCTCTAAAATTGAAAGCAATTATTGCTGTTACCTTACTATTTTGTTAAGAATTTCCAAAAGCAGATGTTGATTTCTTAATATTTAGATTGAAAATTTAAGGAACCACAACTGATTCATATTCTGAATAATCTTAACTGTCCAAATATTTCTAAAGATTTTATCACTGATCTATCTATGTGCCTTGAACAAGTGCCTAATGGGCATGCTATTAATATCTCCTGCCAGCTGGTGCCAGGCATTCTTCTCATGGTGAACCAGAGGGTTATTTTGAGGAAGTGCTTCTGAGGTCATCTAAACTGAGTGAAGGGAAAGTAAGTCTAGATATCCAAAGCGGACATTTATGCATTCCTTTGCCCATTCATTCAACAACTTTTATTGAGTGCCTACTGTATGCACAAAATTGACCAGTGGCACAGAAGATCCCTGTTTAGGGGCTGATATGTTTCTGAAGTCGGCAAAGTCCATATTTGATTTTTTTCATGGATATTTGTAAAGAAGGCCAATGGCTTTGTGCTCTAAGTTTAATTTATTTAAGATGAAAGGAATATAGCCTTTGAGAGACTCTATATTTAATTCTTCACATTTGAAATTAAAGCAATGGAAACTTAAGGTGAATTATAAAATAACTCAGAACAGCAAATGAAATATTTGCATAATAAAGTTTTCATTATACATCAACTTATATGAAAATATATTAAAATTTCAAAGGAACTTATTTCCCAACTACTACACAATATATTTCATTCATACTAAATTTGATTTAAAATCTCATATATTCCGCAACCAGATTTAGGTATTTTAGGATAACACTTAATTGGAGGGGATTTCTGATTATAAAAAGAATACATGTTTATTTTAGAAAATTAGGAAACTGACTGGTATTTGTATCATCCAAAGATAACCATTCAAAATTTTATACAGATACATATATTTTCTTACATATTTAGGATTTTATTATATGTAAGTTAGAAGTTTAATTTTTTATCTTATAATTCTGTCCTGAACATTTTCTTGTCATGGAATATTCTTCAAAAAGATCATTTTTAGTGGTTATCCAGAAGTTTAATTTTTGAGCCTTCTATTTTTGAGTGCCATATTGCTGTTAATAAATTGGATAGCCCCTGAAAAACTTTATTAGTTGCCTTTTGTTACCCAAGGTATATTATGAAATTAAAATGAGAAAATGGATGCAAAGCTCGCCACACAGTGCCTGGCATAGAATAGGTGTTAAATAAATGTTAGTTTCTTATGCCAATTAATGTTTCTTAAAGTAAATTGCACAGTTGATTTTAGAGGAAAAGCCAGTGTTGCAAAAACTTTGGGCACAATTTGAGTTTTCATTTAAAACAATTTTGTTTTGAAATTTTAATGAGACCTCTTGAAATAATTAGTAGAGACACCCCCTGGACATGAAAGCAGTTTTGAGATTCACTTTCTTTGATATCAGTTTCTTAAGACATATAAGCCAATTCTCTTTAAGGAAGTAGCAAAATTAATTTTTCTAGCTTGAAAAATAACTCCCCAAAATGTCTCTTGAACATATTATAATTATTATGTAAGGTAACTCACATTTTGAAGTTTCAATAGAGATATGAACAATAACTAAATATTATATTAAACTCTCCCTGGGACAAAGTTGTGGAATGTTAAAAGGGCTTATACAGTTAAAGTAGATTAAAATAAAATGGGCTCTTCTTAACTTGACTAAACTTGAAAATCTGAAGTAATGTTTTTGTTTCGGTCATGATTGTTTTGAAAATAGCAAACAAGATTTTCTGGTTACATGTTTTGTTATGCTCTTTAACCTGAAACACTAAATGGGTAACACCTAGGCACTAACATGGTCTTAGTGTATGCTTCTCTGTTTGTTTTGGCAGGTATGAATATGGAGACTTTTCTGAAGGTTTTTAACCTTTCAGGTTGTAAGATTTGCTGCATACTATAGACCTTTTGTTTTAGTTTCTGTCTAGTTTTATAAGGAGCTCTAAGTTGAAACTTTCACAGTAGACTGAGCTTCATAATAAAGGGAAAAAATAAGCAGGGGAAACTTGTTTCCTCTAGCAAACTTCTGTGCATAATGAAAATTTGCTTTCCTCCCCTTTATTCTCATGTGTATGAGTTCTCATTTTTGTCCTTGTGGAAAATTGTGCTTATTTCATTTGGGTTGATTTTAGGTATAGTCACTCAAAATGTCACTGTTGTTCTATTCATGATCAACTTGAACGTTTAACCTTATAGAAGAAACTAGAGAAAGTTTCATATAACTGTAAATAATCAGCATGGGACCACTATTTAGTCTTTAATAACTGCCAGCAGTGCAGGGACCAACCTGAAGTGTTCTGAACCTGGAATTATTCTGGTGTATGTGCCCTTTGTTTGAACCATTTTTTATGCCATGCTAATAGAGACAGAACCCTGACCTGCTAAAATTGAAAAAGATCAAAAAGCCAAATGTTATTGCAGGCAAAGTAAGTAAGTAGCAAGTAACTAAATAAATACATTTATTTATTTGGAGTTTTGATAATACTAAGAGAACCATACCAATATTGAAGGACTCAGGACAGAGCATCAATTCTCCGTTGTGCTTTGACATCTCAGATATAAGTAGAGATCTGCCATGTCCACATTGGCTGGGCTATACATTATGAAATTGTATGTAATAATCGGAAGTACTGACTGCCATTGACAGATCCAAGAAAATAACTTTTATTTGGATTCAAGAAGCGGTGAGAGAGCTAAGAGATAACCCCTGGGGGAGTAATTTTACCAGATAACAAGTGAAATTTCGATTTAATGTTTAGGTACAAAACTATATACTCTTGTAGTATTAGTTTCTAGTTGATGTCCAACATAATCTTGGTACAGGTAAAAATTACATGGCAATTAATAGAATTACAAAGAAGTGTTGTTTGTTGTACCTACTTTAGTGCCCCAACAGATAGTCTGTAGAAGCAATATTTTCTTGAGGAGTTCAGTACATTCGATACAAAAAAATAACCTTTAGCAGGAGCTATTTTCCCTGACTGTATCCATAGTTACTCTTTATAAAGAACTTGGAAAGGACTTGTTTTCATTGTATGTGCATTGTAGTTAAGGAGACATTAAACTCAGCTATAATTGAGCAGTTCTTCATTTGTCTTGCTTTGAATTTCAGTTAAACTCCCCTCCTTTCTTCCCACTTCTAATATCCCAGATTTCTAAACAGAATTCACCTGTAATCACCCACCACGATATGCTACGCTTAAAGATTTCGGAGGTTGAAATATGGAAGAGGTAAATTGTTATGTGACATTTGCCTTCTTCCCTTATTTATGCACTTGTTAATTACTAGTTCAA